AAAAAAAAAAAAAAGGAAACCCCTAAAATATAATCTAAAGATCCCAGAAGATAGTGATTTTCTCCAATGTAACAAAAGATTTTGTCCAACAAAATTAGATAGATCACAACAGGCACATTCTCACACGCGAAAACTATAGTGGAAGGAGGCATTAAATGTGGGTATCTACCTGTGATTTTGAAGAAGGCTGTTGACCCCCTTTCTTAGGGGCTTTAGATCCCGGTTGTTGGGTTGCCAGGTCAGCAAGAATGCCATCTAAAGACCACAGCACAAACTTTCCTAATGCCTCAATTGAACGCTGGCTGACCCAGTCAACAGATGTCTTGTAAACAGACTCAGATACATAAGAAACAGGCACCTGTGCATCAGAATAATCCATTAGTGGATTTGACACATACATGGAAACCTAAAAATATGAAGCATCAAAAACTGCCAGAACATATGAAACTGATGTAGGACACCACTTTTGCATATGAATATAAGCAATGGTTCGGAAAAGTCTAGCAGTCCAGGAATGCTGGTTATTAAATAAACCACACAATTCTGTTCCAAAAGGAAGAAGAATCTTGCTTTCGACTATATAAAAACAACAATCGTGTATTTTTTGTTTTTTCAATATGAATTTTTCTCTTTGTCATTATCCATGCCATTTCAGAAACACCGGTAGCATACCTTTACGAAAAAAAAAATGTGCCTTTGCCTTAACTATGAAACTCGAGAATTGCTTTCACACATCACATGTACTAGATGTTTCTAAGGAACCAGTGCATTCGGTGAAAAATTTTGACCAAAGGATGCTTTAAAATCATAATTGTAAATTCACTCATCTAACCTAACTCCCCTGATAGGTTCTATGTTAAGATCCTCACATGAAATTGTGAGGGTTTACACCATTTAAACCATTGAGCTTCAAAGCATTTCAAGAAACACATCCACAAAAAAGCACATAAAAAATATCTTGACAAACTTACATCAGCAAGTTTTGCCACTGCAGACTCCCGGAACAACTTGAGCCATGGAAACTGTGATGCAGTCACGGCAGAAAATGCACGGCCAAAATAATCTGCAAACCTCATCAATTGAATATCTTGTTGCCCTTCAAACGATTCCTATTGACACATAAATCCATAAATCAAACCAATTCCAACCAGAAATATATATATATATATATATATAACGCTAAAGGGGAAACCAAAGAAACTGAATTTACCGAAACACTTGACAGAAAAGTGTCGAGATCATCGGTGTCAATCTTGGCAGCGGCCTCCGCCACAGAGATCTTAGGCTTCTTAACCTTCTTCGGCTTCTTCTTCTTATTGACCTCCGCGAGATTATTCTCCTTGGAGTCGCCACTGCCATAATCGTCCTCGTAATCGTCTTCATCACCCCGATTCCTCCTCGACCTCACCTGGATTTGATCGTCATCGTCATAATCGGTTGCAGCTGCTCGCTGTGCCTCCAATTTCCGGCGGCGCTCCTCCGCGTGCTTCTCCAAGCCCTTAAAGACGCTGTCTTTGTCGGATCCGTTGGGCAGGACGAGCCTGGATGACGAATCTGGCGCCGCTTTATTAGCCTGATTTTTGCGCTGTTTTTTGGCGTAGGAGACCTTCTGCCAGCCTTGGTTGTTGATATCCTCGGCGAGGTGAATTGGGTCGGAGTGGGATGAAAGCGATCTATCGTCTTCCATTGAAGGAGCAGGAAAAATGAGAAAAATCGACGGGATTATGTTTAGCTTTTGGCAGAGGTGAGAAAGAGTTGCGATTGGAAAAGGACAATGAAGTTGGTCGGAGTGCGGAGTAAATAATGATAGTTGACCCCTAGGCGAATTGACCTCCGTCTTGCTAACAACTACAAAAATACCACGAACAATTAGTTATTAGGGTCATTTACGGAAAATACTACGTTACGGAATTCTTCCGTTGGAGATAGTTAATCTAACGGTTACAAATTCTGATGAAATAATTTTGTAACGGGACCATAGCATCTCCCGCTATTTATATAGACTTTACGCATAGGTTTTAAAGCTGGCCAAGGAACTTACCCCGTCTTTTTTTTTTCGTATCAAAATAAAATTTCATAAAAAACCCAAAGGAATAGTACAATCAACAAGTTTATGACTACAAATAAAGGCCATTCTACACAAAGAAGGATTACAAACAAAAGTACAAACAATAAAGATGAGGCCAAGGCAGTGATGTCTCAACAATAACACCATAAGCACAGTTGAAAGGCAATCTGATGTAGGATATTATATTCACGGTCCCTGGCCGACTTATTAGTCCAGTTGGGACGCGTGGCATAATGATCGAATAGGTAGATTGATCGACCTCTAGGCATGATCGAAAAGATACTACTAGGAGATAATAGGAAGTTACATTAAATCAAGAGTGGTGTGTAACTGTCCCTGATATATCGGAGACGTGGTGTTATCATCCGACTCGGCAAGACGCTGTTAAGAGGTTTTAAGCATCCTATTAAACGCGATTAACAGTTAAACCGACATGAATCAGAACCGCACCGATCTACACCAAAGAACCGATCTGAACCGCTGAGGACCGAAGTGATTAAAATTATCGAGGTCAACACCCACCGAGGACAACATGAACCGAGGTCGTCACCTCCTTAAGCAGGTGACAAGGCCTCTACGAGAAGCTCTCCTACACCACAAGATCTGTCATCATTTACGTGGGGGCCCCCCTGCCTCGAACCGCCCATAAAAAGCCACTTTATTCAAAAAGTAGTACGCGGATCCCGATGCCTCAACCCAAAACTACTATAAATAGCAGACCTATGACAACTGTAAAGCTCTCTCGGTTTTTCTACGAACTTCCGAACTGTAAACACTTTAGTAAGCAACACGTAAAAGCCCATCACGGCTCTTCACCTCGGTTCACCTCGGACCGGGGCCATTGTTGATTCAATCCTACATGCTTTACGTTCAAATCCCTCCAACTTATTCACTTAATCCTAAATTACATCGTTGTTAATAACCACATAACAACAGTTTGGCGCTAGAAGGAGGGCCTCATAAGTGATTTGAGGTTAATCTCCGCGTTTTCACATAACAGTGCGTATCAGC